CCCAGGGCTGTGCTGGCAGCTCTGTTGAAATCATCAATAATGCTGTTAAACAAGAGAGGAAGCTATCACAAAAAAGCATGTTCCGTTCAGCTGGACTGAAAGTGTAAAGGAAGGGAAAACTACTACAAACTTCAAAAAGACTTTCTGAGGAGATAAACTATATTTTATTAAGTTATCTCGTATGAAGACTTGAGAGCACCAACAAATAATAATTACCAAAATACTAAATATTAATAAATTGTAAACTAAATAAGCTTATTTTTTATAAATTATTGTAAAATAGTATCACTTTCCTTCATTGGGTTTTATGAAAACACAGAAAGATTAAATAGCCATTCTGTCCTATAAAATGAACATGGTTTTAAAACTTTTCCTGTCTGATTAAATTTGAGTGAATAAAAGGATAACTGATTTTCTAAACCTCATAAAAATAATGAGACTAATAACAAAATGCACTAAGGGAAATAATGTCCTGATACATTAAAGTCTTAGAAATATTTTATGAGCATAAGATACCTTACTGTGATGCAATGTAACAGCCTGATACAAGCATTGCAAGGTACTGTTCAGCATTGGGGTATAAACTGTGGCACGTAACTGTTGAGGAATGTAACTTACAGCGGGAATTACAGATAGTGGTGTAACACAGCTCTATTAGTGCATAGACACAATAGTGCTTAAAAACTGTGTTCTCGTGTTTTAAATATTCATCTTCTATACAAATATCAGAAGTTATGACATCTTATTTCTAGAAGCCCCTAGATCTGTTTTTAGACTTGACCCTGTTCTCAGATTTTGCAGGCGCATCTCATTGCTGGCGGTAGCTGTACCTGCAGTTCACGTAGGCGCCTGTGCTCCGTTACAGTAACGTTACAGCGACGGCCAGAGGCTGTCATGTCTGGCGTACTGGGCGTTTGGTGTATCTACAGTAAGAGTCTATACCTGCTTTGACGTGGCCAGTTTAAGATCCGAGTCAACTAAAACTTGCAAATACGGTAATCTTTGTGGTGTTAGTACTTGCGTGGGCTTTTCTCACAAAGCAGAAGGAAAACCCTTCTCTCTTCTCCCACTGTTTCTTTCCTGTTTCCATCGATGTCAGGCTTCGATCTTGTATTTGCTCAGGGTGCAGGTAACTGATTTTTCCACATACAGACTAGCCTCTGGTTTTAGGATATATGCACTGCATATTGCATCTTACTCATATCCATATGCTTACCTCGTAGGTAGAAGATGACTTTATTGTCAATGACCATAAAATCTTCCTAAAACTAAAACAGTGCTTATTTAGAGAACAGAAACAAGGCATCAGATGAACAGAATTTTAAGACAAGCTACACTTCTGTGGGCACTCCAGGAGGTATTCTCCAGCCAGGTCTCTGGGAGCCACATTATGTACATCTCCATTGCTTATTTTTCTTTTGCTCAGTTCCCGCTTTTCAGAGAATGGCTTGCTGGGCTCCTTGCACTGGCTTTGTCCTATTGTATGCTTTGAGATTTTGTTGGCGAATGTTTTATCTCAGCTACTATTTCTTGATTCTTTTCTTCTTTTTTGCTTAGGAAAAAAATCAATTTATTAAATCAGTAACTAACCAAGGATTTGTAACATCAAACTAACCCATTCTGTGTCTTTTGCAAGTGCTGTGCCTAATTTTAAATACATGGATAGTGCTAATTGTTGGACCTGCTTGCATAAGTATGTCTTGAATCTGCAGGTGTTTACACAAGTAGACTAGAGATAATACTTCTTTTCACTTAGATTTTTAGAAGCAATGAACCTTGGATCAGACGGATAACATGAAATAGCTAGTGTCAAACGTGAAGCCTGTGCAGGAAGGTATTGAATAGGGTCTGCTGAGAACTGGAGAGGGAGGCAGAGAGAGTATTATGTTTTCTTAAAAGCGCGAGTTTGATACTCTTGAAACAACTTGTGAACTAGACACACACTTGCTAAGTAAGTTTGGCGATGGGTGATAAAATTCGTGGTCAGCAAAATGAAGTTGTGATCTTGCTCACAGGCTGTGGTTAAAGCATTCACAGAAGTGTGTTGGATTACCAGGCTTAATCCCTTGCCTTGCTTGAGAGGATTTGTACCCATGCTTCCAACTCTCAACAGATTTCCCTGGCTGCCACAAAATAAGAGGAGAGAGATGCACAGTGCTTAATTTCTCCTCCTGGTGCCATTCCACTTTGTATAATTAATTAAGCATTCACTGAGGCAAGGACCAGAACACAGCTGACCCATGGTTTAAATACTGCCCTAATTACCAGACTAGAGAGTCTCCCCCTGCCCTTCTTTTCCCCTCATCTGTCTCAGACACTGTCTGATCTGGAAGACAGCAGTGTTTGCAGGAAGAAATAAAAAAGTGCTACAGAATAGCCTCATCACGTGGCAAGGGTATCTGGGTAGAGCAATAGCTTTGCCTTTTTCCTGGACCGATATATCAAGGGGGATTGCAGTTTCTTTGCATGAGGTCATGGTAACGTGAAAGACATCAGGTCTCTCTCTCACCTTTTATCATATGTTGAATCCCACTGAACTCCTGAAGCTGGCTGGCGTGTTAAGTGCTGTGCTAACGGCACCAGCAGAAAATGGCTTTGTGAGAATTGAGTTTTGGTATGCATATTTGTTGAATCAAATATTCATAACACTGGTAGTATTCATAACATTGGTAATACTGAACTCACCTTCTTACCTTGCAGTAAGTTTTAGAAATTTTGTTTTGCAATCGACATCCACCTGACACAGGTACTAATTTTCCTTTTCACTCAAAACTATTACAAATGCTAGATAATAACTTTAAATAAGACTTGAACAAAATTAGTAACACTTCTTAATGCTTAGCCAGCTGAGGAGTTGCATGGAAGTTGAGGGCATAAAGATCCAGATTGAGGGGGAAAAAAAAAAAACCAAAACCCAAGCCCTTAGACACTTGGAATTAAATTTAAGCAAAACTTAAATCTGAGTACACAGTTGAGATCTTGAAAATCCTTATTCACCTGTCCCTTCAGTATCAGCTGTGCTTTATATATAGATTAATATATAGCTTGAATGTACTTAAGAGAAGAACTGTTGAGTTCAGTGAGTGGTTTTGTCTGCACATTAATGTGCTGTTCAGTGTGAAAATATAACTACAGAAGACAAGATACACTGAGCAAGAAGCTATCTGCTATTTGCCAAAAATCAGAGTCTTTATCCTTCAGAATAGACAGTAAGAATATGCTAGGATTATGCTGGTTTTATCCCTAAAAAGGAAACACGAGGGTGCTACGTACTGGGTGCTGTTACGGCTTCTGCAGTCAGCATAATTTACGCAACGGAGGTCAGGATACGCACACGCATGCAGCTCCGCTCTCTGAAGGCTTTGCACTGATCTGCCTACAGTGGTTAAAGCATTCACAGGGTATGGGCAGCCTCCATTTAAGAGTTTAATTTGAGGATAATGTGGTTGCTAGCAAATGAAAACCTCTCCAGAAGCTTATTACTAATGGTACATATGAGTCACGAAGTGACTTTGACATCGCTGGGAGAGTTTGCAGGCTAACTGGAAACACTCTTCTCACTTGCAAACTGAAATCATGAAAATGATTTTGACAGCCTGAAACTAAATGTCATTTTTACAAAGATGCTTTCAGAAGAGAGCCACATCCAGAGAATGACTCAGCGAAGGTTGGATCATGCAGGTGGCAGAAGCAATGAGAAGTACTTCAGAGCTGAGGCTTCTCATTGTTGCTGTTGCTGCTGTTATTGTGGAGCAGGAAATTTCGCACCCCTTTACCGAAGGAGATAATAAAAGATGCATGTATTATCGGGGGGAAAAAGAAAAGAAGTTGTGCTTAAGTGCTTGCCTAAAGATGTGTTTACCTTGGTCTCATCAATCAAAATTTAAGTGGTTACTGGGTTGAAACCAATGTCAATATATAGCTTTTCTGCAGCTTATGCAGGAAGAAGGCTTTAAAGTGAGGAAATGGGGCCTTTTTGACACATTTTATTTCAATGTAAGAACAGATACTTTAACAAATTTTGATATTATTACTAAAGAATAATGGATAGAAATGCGGTCTTTGAGACTTTATGTTCAATGTGCGTTTACAATGGAAATAAACTAATATTAGAAGTATTAGAATTATTTTTGACATATTTAGTATGTCAAATTGTATGTATAAAAGCCACGGTTTCAACTGTTTCAGAAGCCCATATTGCTAGCTCTTAAATTCGGAGAGAAATAATCTGCTAGTGCTTGTTTCAGAGAGATGGCAAGTGAGAGTGACCAGAGCAGTAAGTGGCAGCATGCAGGTTTTATCAGAAGGTCTCTGAATAACTGATTGTGCCCCATATACATGCATAATGTAATTTGGATCTGCTAAATGCAGTCTACAGAATACATTGTGGATTACAGTTGGGGGGAAAAATAGGAAAAATGAAGATACGGCACAAAATTACGGTTTTATTTAAAAAAACAAAAAAATTTATTTCTTGAATGGAGCATCTAGTAGCAGAAAGTCCATTCCATCAGCGTGCTCTTAGAGAGTCACCTGAGCTCATTAGAACCTACAGTAAAAATCTTGCTGACTACTTTCACAGGAAAGATTACTCTGTCCTAGTTGGAAGGTGATTGATCTTGAAATAGGTTGGTTGTGAGCTCCTTCCGAGCTGGAGAAAACACCCAGCCATGGCTTTCTGACTGTATTTCCTCTGGAAAGAAAAGCAGCTGTATCAGAACAGCAATGTGGGATTACTTGTTTATCAATTAATCCAGATAAAATTTGTTCAATTTACAAACATACGAGTGTCTGGGTTTGATTTTTCCCCTTAATGTTGTATTACCCTTACAGACTTTACCCTGGAAGCTAAAATTAAACATAACGTAAATCAAACTGTAGCTTGAAGTGGCAGCTTGCAGAGATTTGAGCAGTAGGCTTGAGAGATAGTGTTTTCAGAACTGTTTTAAAACAAAGATTACCATTTTGTTGTGTATAACCTTTCTTCTTTTTTGTTGAAGATGGGACATGGAACACGGAACCTCAGAAGATAGTTAAATTGGGAGTTCTGCCTGTTAGAAGTCTGCTTGTGATGGAGGAGACCATTTGGGCTGCATGTGGTGGACAAATTTTTATAATCAGCACTGTGACACATTCCATAGAGGTAAATGCTTTTAAAAGCATTGCTTACATACTGTGCTACAAGGTGTAAGTGGTGAAATTTTAAACATTAAAATCTGTTTAAGGAGCTTCATGATTCAGGAAGCTTTTCATGAAATACGGTTTCAGTTCTGTTAAATCCCACTCCCTGCAGTTTGAAATTCTGCCATGATGTTCTCTGCTGATGTCTCATTAGGCCTAGGTTTGCTCCCATTTGTCTTCCAGGTTTCCATGAGGTGCTTGGAACTCGTAGAGTATTTGGAGCAAGAGGTTTGCATAAAGATGAGATCTGAAGAAAGGTAGCAAAGAAGTGAGTGCCTATAGGAATTGCCTGTTAATTCCAGAAGAAGGTTTAATTAAGAGACTGCCTCTACGTAGTTAGATGTTACTTGTACCTTGTGATCATTTCATAATAGATTTCTTCAGAGTTTTGCTTCTCAGTGCCCTACAAAAATCTGTTTTGTGTGAGGACATTTTCCAGTGAATAATCATACAGAGGTCAGCTTTTCTGGAAGGAGAGAAGAGTGTTAAGGGTTCAAGCCCATATTTGTGACCAGATTTTCCAGAAAGCATTAAGCCCTCCTTTCTGTCAAAATTGCAGCCTCCACCAAAAGAACGCCTTAGTGGTCTAAAGTTTAGAGCTGATGAAACGTTAGGAATGAAGCCTCTCCTTCAGCTTACAATACAGTTACACTGAATTGCATGATGTTTACAGCCATGAAGTTCTTTCAAACAGGAGTCCTGATGAGCTCACAGCCTCCTTCTTTGTGTGCTTTGTTGCTGCTTTTTTTTGTTTCATTGATGATCGTGTTTTCTCCCAACAATCGTTTATTTGGTACAATTGATTCTGTGAGTCATTGTCATGGGTTTGCAGGGAAATAGCTCACATCCTAATTTCCTCTGTCTCTGCTTTCTGGGTGATTTGCTTCATCCAAGTAGGTGCTCAGATCACATATTTTCCTACTTTGCTTTTCTTTAAGGCTTGTTTTGTTGATAGTTTGAATGGTATGATGAGGGACAGATTTTGGAAGAGTGATTTGGATAGGTGCTTGAAATCTTTTTTTGTTAGCTTCTTCAAGGGGGGCAGGGTAGCCGCTGGGACACGTGATTACTGTCCTACAGCCTTTGATGATGAATCTCTGATTCTCACCAACAAATACATAGCAGTGGTATGAGATTGCAGCCAGATTGTTCCTGTGTGAGGTTGGTTACATACAGCCAGGTCTCTGTAAATGAGTTTGGCAATTCTGGACTTATTCTGTCACAAAGCTCTTCCTAGATCAGGTGGTATGGCTGCAGTTTGGGCTATGCTGTGTTGTTTTGGCACAGGAAAACAAAATCAGAATTAGACAAGCTTTGAGGATTAAAGAATATATAAACTTTACTCTATAAATACACTAAATACAGTATAGCATAATGGATTGCAGTATTGAAAACAGAAGTTTAGAGCGATAAAATAAGAAATATTCTATCAATAGCTCTCAGACATGGTAGTTTCATTTTTCAGCTGTTACTACAAGTTTTCCTCCAAAAGCATCACAGGAGGTTTCTTTTCATTTCCAGAGTGCTTTGCGAACTAACCCGTCCATTGTATTCAGAGTTTGCATTATCCACCGACTTTTATAGCTATAATTAATATATAGGCAACAAATGATGCAGCAAAGAACGTGTAAGAAACAGTGCAACTGGAAATGGTGTGTGTGGATTGAATAATGTTTTCTTGACACAGATAATTTTATTCAAGAACGTGATGATGTTTTATATGACTGGATGAGGGTCATCTTTTTACATGAATATCCATACCATAGCGTGTCATTTTCCTCATAGAATTGTGAACAAACGATGGTTTTCGTTTGCCATCTTGCTGGTCCTAAGACATATGGAAGTACTGATCTTGTTTTCATCATCTCACCAGGCTAAACAGCGCGGTAATGTTTTCGCTATTGCTACCTGCTCAGTTACCTGACTTGTTTTGACAACTTCCTGGGTCTATATTTCCAAAAGTGATCTGCTACAACGTGCATACTGTGTTCATTGGCAATATTGTTTCAATATTGTATTATACATGAGGCAATTTAGACTCTGTCTATAGGGAATATTTTAACAAAATCAGCAGCTGAATACATATGAGCTACCTTTTCCTTACTCTGCAGAGCACAAGCTTTTCTGTGAAGGGCAACAGCAGCAAGGGAAATGTTTGTTCTCCCTCTGTGTCCTCTCTTGTTGAGAATTAGTAATGATTGGACTCAAGATTTTTTGCATAATATTTATCTTTGTTCTATTAACAGGAATCCAGGCATTGCACAGGGCTCTTCCCTCTTTGCTGAACTCCTTTATAGCTCCACATACTTCAAATTACAGCTGCTTGTTTGTTCATTGCTTTCCACTATCATGCATACATATTATATGCTCTGTATTGTATACATTATCTGTGAAGGCACCTGACTAGTTCTTAAGGCCATATTTGTGCAAGCCCATGAGCACATTCAAGACCATTTTGTAAACTTTGTCCTTGTGAGGCTCTCCCTGCTTCACAGGTACCTCATATTTAACTGTCTGTGCATTGCTAAGTGCAGAGCACATTATCCTTGGAAACAATCTCATTCCATGCCTCCTTGGTTTTCTAAGATTCTTATTTAAGCTTTTTTTTTTTACTAACTTATTAGCAAATGAGTAGGTTTGGCATCCTATATATTGGGTTTGGATGTTATTCACTTTTCCTGCCTTTTTTTCCCCCTGATTTGGAAAAGATTCTCAGTTCACTTGTTTTAATGATATGTTACTGTAATAGAATGTTTTAGGAAATGTCTTTTATTGGCACAGTGCCCCAAACTGGCACAATGCCTCAAGCTCCTTGGCAAGGGACGTGTGAGAGTCAGCATCAATTGCTGTTATATATTAATTACATACACTGATACTCTTTCCGTGAATAAGTCATTTCTCCTTAGTCTTGACCCTAGGTCTGACAGCTGTATTGCTGTCGGGTATAGTCCTTGATCCCATCCCAGTGGTCTCTGCGCCGTAGACCCTTATGCTCTGCAAGGGCAGTATGTGTTTGTTTAAAAACAGCGAAGAATGCCAGAGTATTTAACGGAATAAAGTCACCAACTGAATGGCATTCCACCCTGGTTTGTTTTGTCTTGGTTTTTAAAACTTGGCCAACTATACACGAGTTACTCTGAAATGTTCAGCTGAATAAACAAACCAAATGAAAATCCCTGTACACGAGTGTGTGTTGCCCAAGTACTGTAACTTCTGTAAAGCAGCAAAAGTCATTTGTTTTACCTTGTGGACAATGATACCCATTATGCATCCCTCACAGAGCTTGAGACATCGTGGTTCCGTTCTTGGTGCAGCTGTCTGGTGCAAGTGAAGACCCCCTTGAAAGAATGACTGGGGCTATGCCCCACGCCGCCCACACAATAGTGAGCACATGGTCCTGGGCAACCCAGAATGTCTTCTGCGGCATCCAGAATGTCTTCTGCAGCTCTCCTGTTGCTATAGAGCTTGGGAGAGAGAGCCTGAGGGGCAAAAAGCTGGGCTCTGAGTAGAGAGGAATGTAGGTATGAAAACTAAAAGAGAAAAGTAAAATGAAGTTCAGGGGCTTTGATAACAAAGGGAATGAGACATTTTTGTCCCTCTGTATTTCTTGTTATGAGAAGAAGAAAAAAAAAAATTGAAGAGAAAGGCCAGCTATTGGTTTTCAAATTGACGTGTAATTGAAACAGATGTCAAAGCTGTCCTCTATGGAAACACGCATTTGTAAAAGAACATACAGGTTTGGGGTATGTTCCCACTCCGTGTTAGAAGACCCGTTGGATGAGAAAAATAGTTCTTTTTACGTGCTTCTTGTGGCATTGACAGTGCTATGGTTTTACTTTAAATGTGTCTACGTGTTTCAGCAGACAGCTGTACAAATGGCAGGACAGAGTAAGTGGGAGTAGAATGAGTTGGCTGGTAAAAACGGAATGTGACAAAAATGCGTGTGCAAGTTGTTTACAGTGGCACCAACAGAAGCGTCAGCTGCGGCCAGACCATTCCAGAGCAAATTTCGTTTCTTATGATCTGCTTCATTTTTCTGCTGATTTCAAAGAGTGCAAGTTTCTGGTCAGATTCACTTGAGCGGCCTTGGATCTGCCCCTGAGAAGTTTTCAAAAGTCAGTTGGTCATCAGCGTAGGGACGTATGAGTCTGTAAACAGCAGTTTCTGTTTTTAAATCCATTTTGCAATGAAACATGCATGATATCAGGAAATATAGTCGTAAGAGCTGTTTCTAGCTTTGAAAGATGTTGTTCGTGGATGAATCCTTCTGTTGAATAAATCAAAAGGTTTTCAAATTGCATATATCATTTGGAAAAGAATGAATGGCGGTTACCTGAGGAAAATGGTGAATACAAATGTGCCTGCCAGAGACACTTACCTTGCATTCTGCAGTGTTGTTATTCGAAAAGTCGAAAGGTAATACAGTAACACTCAAAAATTGAACCGCTGCCCAGTAGCTGAAGAGAAACTGTTCGCTTACTAGAAACTGAAAATTTGAAGAATAGTGTTAACAAATGAAAAACAAACAAACAAAAAAATCATTCCCCTTATTTTTAAGCAGCCAATTTATCAGTGGAAGGTACTAATTTATGGAGTAATAAAGTATGAAAAGAGAAAAAAGTGCCTACTAAGCAGAATATCAAAAATTACACTTTGTGAAAGCTTGAACTTCTGTTCTTTATCTCTGAGCTTAGCCTGTTTGTTGAATTTAGATGGAGAATTTGAACAGTATATTAAAAAAATAACTGTCTTGGGCTAAGACCTTATCCTGAGAAACATGTAATTTAGATTTTGATGCAAAATGACCAAACCATAACTCTTAATTGTAGTACATGGAAAATGTAAGTGTACAAAGGGGGTACTTTAGCATTTTATCTGCGAATATTATTAAGAGTATATAATAAGTAGTGTGAACATTAGAGCAGATATTTACTTCCATATCCCTCAAAGAGAGGTTTGTATCCAAGGAACAGTTTGTCATTTATTTAGCCAAGCAAGTTTCATGTTTATCAGAATAGCTCTCTCTATTTGATAATAGCTGGCAAAACACTAAAAGGCTGTCTTTAACTTCAGAGGCAGTTTACTTACAAGGCAAAACTGGAAAAAACCCCAAACCGTACTTCTTTTTAATTATTAAAGAATTTTACTACAGCTTTATCTTGCATGTTAACAGGGGCATGTAGAGAGGTTTCGGCCTTCCTGGAGCCATGCAGAGGTTGTAACTGTGAAGGCACTAGATAAAGGAAAAAGGTCTGTCCTCAAAGTCTTGTATTACTTATCGTCAGAAGGGGGATTTTGGCCTTTCCAATGAGAAGCATCACTATTTTGAAGGACAGGAAAACAAGATAGTTAATACTTGTGAAATTCAGAAGTGTCTATGAGTCGACAAGCAAGCCACAGTATTAAGGCTCACATTGTTATGTACATACTTAAGCAAAAGATTGTATATTTATATTCATAAACACTCTGCTCTCTAAAGGTGACTTTTTCCTTGATTCTGTTATCCTTGTTCTGAAAAGCCCCACTAACAGAACAGAAGAAAAATATTTTTTTATTGTTTAAAGAGGAGTTCTGCTGTAGATAAAAGAAACGTATCAGGAAAAAACCTTCCCACTCCCAGGAACCTCATCTGTGATAGTTTTCCCAAAGGAGTATCAATAAAGAAATGTAAATTCCTTTGAAGTCTGAGCTGTTATGGGCTTGCCAGCCCATTTTTTTTTCAATATTTTTAAGAAATACAATATTTAAGTTACTGTGAAGTTAGTCTATCATTAGGTAGGATTTTGGCTCAAAAGCTGAGAATCCTTTCGTACTCATGATGATGTATTTTCAAAAAAAAGTAACAGGAAAATTAACACATCATACGCAGCAGTCAGAGCATATCCTGAGCAAAGCAGAGGAAGCTAGCTTTGTCCTTTACACGGAGGACAAAGATCCAGTGCCTACACCGATAAGGGAGGTTGAATGATGTTGTTCAGTTGCATCTCCCCACAGAGTCCTTGTTTTTCTTACAGAGCCATTTTGAAGCCCACCAAGAGGAAGGGATGGTAATCTCTCACATGGCTGTTGCTGGAGTGGGGATCTGGATTGCCTTCACATCTGGATCTACGCTTCGCCTTTTCCACACTGAGACACTGAAACACCTCCAGGATATTAACATTGCCACACCTGTTCACAATATGTTGCCAGGTAGCTGAATCACTTCATATGATAACATTTTTCTTTTATCTTTATTACTGTCATTCTCCAGAGTATTGTAGATTAGGTCAGAATCAGAAGGTCCATCTTGGACTTTGAGTCTGATAACTCTGTCCTGACTATTTGCTTTAGTAAATCATAGTCTGTCACCTGCCCAGAAGAACAATGTGTTCAATGAACTGGTTGAGTAGCAGCACTCCTCCTTAAGAGATTATAAATGTAATTACACAGATAAGCAGGTGGATTCCTCTGTTTGGTTTTGGGGTTTCGTTTGGTTTGGTTTTTTTTTTTTTTTTGTGATTGTGAAGCAGTAGGACAATGCAGTCTGCCATGAAAATGTGTTTGCTTTGCAGAGTTTAGCATTTGCTTCTGGAACTTAGTATCAGAGTACATGATGGAGTCAATTTGCCTAGGATCCAGACCAAAAAAACCCCACTTGCTTAATTTTAGTTACATTAGTCATCCCAGTGAACTCGGCTGAAGCACTTGCACGCTGCTTTTTCAGAGCATGTTTAGTGTTTTGCTGATTGCAGGTTTAATTTGTTGAATTAAAAGGTTAGTCTTATAAGTAAAGATGGAACCTGTGGTTGTTAGGGTAAAGTTTAATGGTTCTTTAAGTGTTCTAAGACAGGAGCTGCTCAGTCATCCCCAGGTTTCACTGGCCCATGTGGGTTTTGCAAGCCTTAGCACCAGCAAGCACATCAGGTGGGAGCTGCGGCAGTGCTGGGGGAAGAGACAGGCAGAAAAGCGATACTGGCGTGGCTGGGCACGAGGCGTCCATGTGGGGACAACTGTTCTTTCTGTCTCTCCCTGTTTTATAGACTGCAGTAGACCAAGATTCTGCAGTTTTATGGGCAATGTGTGCGCCAGCTTTACTGCTTGCTTTCTAGCAGAACCCAGTTCTTCCCGCACTGAGATTATATTTATATCCTTACAAGAGTTAGGTATAAATCCTGCATCAAAAACGTTCCACTCCTTCAGTCTCTGTCTTCTTACCATGTTTTCTTTTCAGAAGACATTAACTTTGCAATAAAGCTCTGTTTTAAATTGTGTGCATTTATATCATGTTCTAGACAGGGTGGTTTTTTACATGTGGTGTTCGACTGCAGCTCCCAACACAGAACAGCAGCAAATCGCCTGCCTTTAAATAGGTCATTTGATTGAATTCATCAGTTATGCAAAGAAATCAAGATCAGTTGTAAAAAGAAGATTAACTTTTAATATGTTCTGCTGTTATAGCAGGGGGAAAAAGGGAAATAGGGCCTTCCTTATACTTATGTTCTGCATATAAAAATCTTCAAAAAAATTTAGCTTTAGTGTTCATTGCCATGGTAATAAAACTGCTGATGTAACGTACCATTTTTTTTTTGTAAAAGACTTTTAGATAATTATATCTCCTTGGTGTCATTCTTACCCATTTTAGTTCCCTTTTTTTTTCCTCAGTGTCTTCACAAAAAGCACGCCAGTGAATGGAAATGGAAATTTATTTCAGGCGTAGAACATTATTACAGCAAATGTTCCAAGGGAGAATCCGTTCTAAAAATGAAATGAATTTCAATTATTTAGCAGCAGCTCTTGGGCCTGTTTATATGATCCCAATAATGCTGCAGCAACAAAGGCTAAAAGACAGAGGAGTAGGAGGTTTACATAATAAAGCAGCAGTAAGGACCTTTTGGAACGAAAAGCATCCAAAGAATAAATCAAGGACTGTGTAGTATATACGGAGGTTAGAAAAGAAAAAAACAAAGTGAAACAGAGGAGTGAAGTAGCTGTGTATTTACAAAATATGTATTTGCCTTTACTGAGGTTGTTTAGAACTTGTAGTTTTAAAGGCAACAGCTCTGTTAGTTTTCTGAAATCCAACAGGAGTTCCTTAGCATGCAAAAATAACAGATAAGTAAAAATTCAACTTGTGTTGAAAAGAGAGAGAAGAAATTGGTGTAAAAATATTGCTAAGAGTCTTAAGAAGAGAGATTAGAAAGGCAAGATCTCAATATAACTTTGAAGAAACTGGACTTCTTTTGCCAAGATTTCAGTAGGGACAAAAATATGGCCTGATAGGCTACCTGGAGATGTCATCTGTGTCTTCGTTTAAAGCAATGTAAATGAGAGGAATGTCACTCTGTGAGGTTAATGAGATTATTTTGTTGTTACACAGTAGAAGTAACAGGAAGAAATTACTGTCACCATCAGAAATGGTTACCATGAGTTACAGTGCTGTATTTAAAGGGTAGCTGTAGTAACTAATTAAGATAGAGAAGTAGGACGTTCTCATAACCTTAGTAACCAGTTCTCATAGCATTAGGTTTTCCCAATTTTGTTCTTCGGAGAAGACGGCTTTAAATATCACTGCCTGCTCTCCTTGTTGTAAAGGCTGTGCCTCCTTTGCTTTGAGAGAGACAACCCTGCAGCACGGCGGGCAGGACAGAATCGCAGAGGAACGAAGCGTAAGGGAAACGGCCCGGGAGGTGATTGTCCTTGTGATTCGGCAAAGTTTAGTAATGTAAAAAAGCAGACTGTGTCTGGCAGAATCTTTGATCTGCTGGACGTATCTTTTTAAATCAGTGGCAGTCCACTTACGAAGAATGGAGCTGGGAGGGCTCTTGCTTTCTGGAGTTATGGAAAGTTTGTGTGTAGGAATGCAGGACTGGAAATCAAACCAGGGTCATAGGGGCAACCGTGGGATAGACATTTAGTCCAGAGTGGTCCATGGTATCTTTGCTTCATATATCATCAAAAATACTTCCAATAATGTATAGCAAGCTTATGTTCTATAAAAAGACACCAAAAAAGCACAATTGCCATATGAGAAAGGAAGAGAATGGTTGAGAGGGAGAGCATCATCATTGCTATAGGTCCAGGTAACTATTTATTTCACTGTCGAGTAAACCACAGTACAGCAGACAAATATACACACTTCACTAGTGCAATGCACTTCATTTGTAGAGCAAGTTCATGCTTGGCGTTTGTGATCTGTAGTTGAAATCTCAACAAAGGCAGCTTTTCACCAGCCTATATTACAGCTCACACCAAAAAAAAAAAAATACTGTCTGTGAGTAGGCAGTCCACTTTTTTTCACAGTCACATTCAATATTTCATTATTCAAGAACATCCTTAAACATGTTTTTCAATTCAGCTCTAAGAGTTTGTTCTTTTAAAGAGATTTCTGTGACCTTGATACATGTAATTTCATTGCTCATATGAACAATGACAGGTTACCTATTTAACAAAGAGGTGATTTCTGCTTAAGTTGCTGTATTCTGTTTGTATCCATATATCCTCTAACGGCATGTGTGTTTCCTGGAAACAGATAAAAAAAAGCAAAGAAAAAAAATGTATCATTTCCTCTCTACGGAAAACAAACTATACTTTGAGGCTTACGGCTTTCTTTTGTCACCACCCCGCCAGGTGCCAGACCATAAAATGCAGTTGTTTTATGATTTTTACTGCTGGGAAATGATAAAAAGATTGGGGAAAATTTTAGGTCATCCCAATAGATCTGTACAGATTTATATAATAAGAGCAGCATGGTCACGTTTAGAGGATATGTACCAACGTGCCCTTGCACCTACGCAGGGTTGACTTCAGCAGATCTGTGTGGGAACACATGAGGATTTACCAGGTCTGGTGGTTGTTGTCACTGAGACCTGAGAAAGATGAATGCAGAGCAGAACATAGGCAATAAAACCATTTGCCCATGTACAAGCTTAATTGTTGGCTTCAGTTCTTCGTAAAGTCAAGGTCTTGGTCAGATTATTTTACAGGTTTTAACAGTTCTGTCATTGCATTGGGCCAGTGTGATCTAAAAGTTGTCATTTCAAGATAAGAGTATTTGATGGGTTTTGGCATTTATGTTTATCATTTTCCCTTCTTAACTTGTTAATTTCTGTGCTGACTGCATAACACATTCTGGATAACTGGTTTTACTTTTTTTTTTTCTCTGAATTTGAAATATATCAAAATAAAAAGTCACAAAATAACAAAGAAAAGTATGATTTCAAACCTTGGCTAGCAGATAACAATATTTTAAGTTAATATTTTAACAGGTTTATTTTAATCTGTGTATCATTATTGGAGTTATGTGCTATTTCAAAGTATATTTTCAGATGCAGATGTTTCCTGCTTTTCCAAGATTTCAAAGCAAGTGGTTTTCCTTTTGACCTTGCTATATATAGATGGTTCATGCTTAAGATTGTGCTCGGTGTTTAAGATTCTAAGTTGCTGGCTGATAATTTGCTGTTTTCATCTATGGAAATTGTAATGCATATTACCAGTTTTCACTGGTAAAAATTACTGGTGAGACGTTGCTTCAGGGTTGGAGTATGAAATCATGCATATTATTTTACGTTTTAAATGCTTAAAAAAGTATTAAAGATCTGTTGTTTAAAAATGTGAGCAGCTTGCTTCTGCAAGGAGTTTGAGAGGCAAATGTACAATTGGAATAAAGTACAAAAAAAAAAAAAAAAAACCACACCAAAAGCAAACCAACCAACCAAAAAAAAAAATAAAAAATCAAAAAATCAATCAAACTCCCAGCTTTGAAAGACTTGTAATTTGTCGATAGGCGTAGACCATCCATGCTTGTCTAGCTGAAGAGGGATGATGCAGTTCTACTAGCATAAACACGGTTTATGGAAAACAGCACAGGTGCTTCTGAAGGCCTGCATGAGTAGGTGGAGCCTCTTCAACTTACTTGGGCTCATTACAACTGCTGAGGTTGACCTAATTGTCTTGCCTTTAGGGTATTTTAGAATGGGGTTTTGGGTACACAGAGCTGGGATTCCAGATCTGGCCCTGCAGCCTATGTGTGCCTTTTACAACACGCTATTGCTGGGTTAATACTTTGTTTTTGTAAAGTTCTGTGAGGAAAGACTTGAACTGTGGTCCACCTCCTGCTTTCCAGTTGAGTGCTTTGGGCTACAGTCAAGCTGCTGCTTCCCTGCTTTCCCAGTGGGTCTGTGATTCATGTACTCTTCGATGTAAATTGACTCAGCTTCAAGGGACGAGATGGAAAATGTATTCATTTCTGATACACCGTAATTAAGGTCCTTTTCCAAAGTGTGGAACATGCGGGTTCACCCAAGTTATAATCAGATGTGGAATCCAAATTCCATACTTACTGATGAAGTGATTAACAACTTGAGAGCTGTGATGAAAATGGAATGACTGCTCTCTTGCACGTAAAGTTAATCATGAATCTAAGAACACGTAGGTTTTAAACTCTGCTGGAATCCTCCAGGTTCAAATGCTCCTCCACATAAACTTGGGCCATGGCAGAAGTTTGGGCAGGCAGTAGTTTCCATTTCTGAAACTTGGCAAGGCTGTTGTGAAAATCTATCTAAACTGAATCGAGCATATTCAGTAAGCATTGCAAGCAAAAATTACTTTGTTCATTAGAAAAATAGCAATCCCATAAATAATATGTTGTAGCAAATCATAGAATAATTTTGATTGGAAATCACTCTAGAGCTCATCTTGTTCATCCTTCTTGAAGCAGGCCTGATTAGACCTGGTTGTTCAAGTACTTCTCCAGCCAAATTTTTAATACCTTTGGATAGGATGAAGATTCCGCAACCTCTCTGAGCAACCTGTTGCAGTGTTTGACCACCTTTATTATGAAGTTGTTTTTCCCTACTTACAATCCCAATTTCCCATGTTCCAAATTTGATCCATTGTGTCTCACCCTACCACTGTGCACATCTGAATAGACTCTGTCTCTGTCTTCTGTGCACCCTGCCATCAGGTAGGTGCAGACAGCACTTCTTCTAACCTCTCTTTGTACACTGTGTGCTCCAGCCTCCTGATCATCTTGGTCACTTTCCATTGGACTTGTCCCAACACGCCAATGCCATTCTTGTACGGGGGACACCCAAACTCCAACAGGGGAACACGGCACTTCTGTTATGGTTTCACAGAATTAAAAAACAAGGAGAAAAAAGTAACCATGAACGGGTTTGAGTCTTGAGTATAGTGTGTTACGGCGATATGTTATTGAGTGTTGTGAAGTGAAATGGCTTTCAGTTTTCTTGCTGAGAATATACATAATCTATTTGTAAAAGCATATTTGTAAAGATTATCTGTGTCTACTTTTAGATACTGTGGTTTAGAGATTTAGGAAAAAATGTTTCAGAAGTATACTAGTATTTAAATTGTATGTAAAGTTGAATACTATATCGCCTTTGCGACGAGCGCTTTGCTGAATGAGACGGTACGGCTGATTGTGTTTGCCTGAAGTTACTCTGCTCTAGGTAAAGATCATCACTCTTAAGTAACAGAGCACTTCCTAAACTTCACAGGGCAGCAGCGCGTTTCGGTGACCAGCCTCCTGGTGTGCCATGGTTTACTGCTTGTTGGAACAAACCTGGGTATAATAGTAGCATTGCCAGTGCCACGCTTGCAGGGGATTCCCAAAGTAACTGGTGAGTGAAAGTTCTCAAACAGATCGAGTACAATGGTTTTATACTGAAGATTGAATTTCTCTTCTGTCAGTAGTTTAAGTGAATCTGCAAAATTATATGTGTTGTTCAGATGATGTATCAGAGCTTTGTGGTGAAATGGTATTTGTTGTTGTTCCTGAGCTTTACAGGATATCCAGGTACTTGTCTAGTTTTGTCTTAGTTGTTTGAGCCGGAACAACTGTTCTTCTTTAGGTCATAAGAATAGGATAGGCAGTAGGAGTGCGGTCAAATACATGGGGATGAGAAGAGAATGTAAACAAACTTTCTTCCAGATTTGGGGAAAATGGATGCATTAGGTTTAGACACATAAGTACTGAAAATTGAGTATGTTGTCTGACTGGTTATTCAGTAAATTGGTTTTGTGCCCTTTCTCCCCAAATCAGGAGTCTTGGGACATAGGAGAGTATATACTTAATTTTTTTGACAGTGATAAAGATCTTTGCATTTTGGAGAGATGTATTTATTGAGTTACTTTCATATTACCCCACTTGAAATACAAACACGTGAATGCTGCTGTATCACTTTGCAAATGTTTAAGCTACTAGCAGAAGCAAGATTTTGAACGTGTGTTTAATGGGGGCTTTGCCATGCTACGTTTTGGGTTCAGAATTCTGCTCAAGCTTCTGCGTTGCAGAGGGAAGCTGGCAGATTTTATGAGGCAAGCTGTTTGCCACTTCCTCCAGGGGGAAAAAAAAAGAGCTTATGTAACTGCAAAATGCAAACAAAATCTTCTGTGTTCAGCAAAATATGCAGCAATAATCTAGTATGACACAGGATAAATGCTTCTTAAAAAATACAGAACCTGTGTTAGGTGAAAATAAATGCAATACAAGAAAATGCATACTTGCAGAATCAAAAAGTCTCTCATTTGATTCTTCCATTTTCTGTCTTGATTATTGTAGTTTATGTCATCCATATATTCTTGCATTTATTTTGGGTCAAGATTTGTCAGATTTCACAGATCTAGCAACATTACATTTAGAGGCCTATTTTTATAGTCTTTGATACCGTATTTGGAATTTGAACCGAAAAATTGTGACTTTTTCCAGTTGTGCTTCCAAGAGTGATAATTCATCTTTATATCATTGCACTTTCTGTAAAAACAGAATATGTTTTATCATAACCTAGAATGCATTATGGAGTTCGAGATGGACAGAGTGGTCTCTAGGGTTGTGGGTTTTTCCCTTGATAGCCTAGCTCTTTTCCATATTGTAGCTGATTTTGTAGAATACTACTTTTCTTTTTAATTCTTTTTTTGCTGTAAAAGCCACACATACTGATACTGTTATAGCTTCTGAATTTGGCCATATGCAGTTTGTTTTTCATACATTCTACTGATTTGCTCAGCGTAAGTCTTCCTTGTACCACCAACATCCCACTGTTTAAATACTTTTTAAAAAAAAAGAAAAAAATCATATTTGTTCATTCATTTCCTCACGATCTGCCATGGTAACCATTCAGAAGGATGAGTTTTAGTTCCTGCTGTATAGTGTGGAGGGGTCTGTTACAGTGAAACAGATGTTCTTATGCCATTCTGGAGAGGCACAGAGTTACAAGAG